GATAAATGTTGACCATTTTAGATATATACCATCTGTGAGGTAGTAGGCCAAATTATACTTGTGCCCGTTGACCACATACTCTAACCTGGGAGCTCGACCTTGTAAAATGTCATCAAATACTGGAGACCGGTCGAGGACATTAATATCGTTTAAGGTACCTGGAGGACCAAAAAAGGCGTGTCATATCCAAAGATCCTGTGAAGCTACGGCCTCTAAGACAATTGTCGGTTTTCCCGATCCACGTGTGTACTGCCCTTTCCAGGCGGTTGGGCAGTTTTTCCACTCCCAATGCATACAGTCAATGCTTCCTACCATCCCGGGAAATCCACGTATCTCTCCAATATCGAGTAGTCGTTGAAGATCCTCCGGTGTGGGCCGTCGTAGATACTCATCTCCAAATAACTGTATAATTCCTTCAGTGAAATTATCTAAACTACGAAGTGCCGTGGTTTCAGCTAGACGGAGGTATTCGTCAACCGTGTCAGCTGCCGAACCATAGGCAAGCAGGCGAATTGCTGCCGTACATTTTTGTAGCGCAGAAAGACCAAACCGACCAGTCGCATCTTTTCTTTGCCGAAAGTATGGAATGTTCTCTGAGAGGCGCTGGACAATACGCAAGAATAAATCCTTGTTCATGCGAAAACGTCGTCTGAAGAATTGAGCCGGAAATGTCGGATCTTCGCTGAAGTAGTCATTCCATAAACGATGGTGACCTGCTTCCCGGTCCCGTTCTATATAGGACCGTTTGTTTTTGGGTTGGGCCTCCATGATGTTGTCGATTGTTTCTTCAAAAATATCATCGAAAACTTCGTCCATTCTTCGTTCGACTTCATCAGATGAAGATGATGGCATGGTGTGCTAATCTGCCTTATAAAAAAATAAGATACAAACATTTTTAGAATGTTTAAAATAGAATAAAAAGAATACACAGACATTAACGTTTTATATAAAAGAGGTTGAAAACCTATCGTAAACAAATTTAACAATTTTGCACTGGTTTGGTTAATTTAACAATTTTGCACTGGTTTGGTTAATTTAACAATTTTGAGAATCGACAAGGCTCAGTTCCAATTATTAAAAGAGCAGAGCAACAAAGTAATATAGACAAAACAAAGCTATACAAATTTGGTCTCTTTTGTTCTGGTTAATGTATCGTAGTTATAATATATATGTTTTACCTTCTTATAAAACCATAGTGATATAAAAGACATGATGAGAATGAATCTGATAATTATAAAACCATAGGAATATCAAATGAGTTGATGAGAATGAAGATGACATCTAGAAAACCAGAGCAACAAGATCAAAGCAATATCACTGGACATTAACATTACTTACGATCAAATCTGGAAGGCTAGAGTAGAAGATGTTAACAACAAGCTCAAAGCAATATCAATAGAAGCACATAAGTTTAGATTTTTCGTTTGAGATACAGAGCAAAAGACATGAGAATGAGATACATAGCAAAAGCCGAATACATGTTTAAATAAAGGCTTCACTGAAGTTTAATACAAAAAAGCCAAGTAAACAGTAGGAATCCGTGAGTTGCTTCACATGTCCTACAGGGGAAAAGACTTGACCATACGCCGAATGCACCCGTGAGTACTGACCCTGCAACAAGAAAACAAAAAATAATAAGTACTGACCCTGCAATACTCAACATATACAGAGAAACATGTAACAACATATACTAAGTACTGACCCTGCAATACTCAACGTATACTAACCAACAACATTTAAGAAAATCAGACGACATTCAACCTAGATTACTAAGCAACATTCATAGTTAATCCTAAGAAAATTGACTGATATGGTACCTTAAACTGAAAACACATCACAACATCTCAGACATAAGTTTGAAAACACATCACAACATCTCAGACATAAGTTTGAGATACAGAGATGTTTCCATCTCTGAAAGTGGCTCCTTCTTGGCAATCAAACTTTCAACGATTTTTTTTTTGGAAATTTTATCTTTCATTTCCAGCATGGCCTGTATCTTTGACAGCTCCTCCTCTTTACCACTCTTCTTCTTTTTACTCGCACCTTTGGCAGCCTTGACTCCCATGGGTCTGCCCTCTGGTTCCCCCACTTCCTCTTCGCCATTAATCTCCACAGCTGCTTTACGCTTCTCTTTTCCAGTGTCCTTACCAGCTACGCTGGAACACCATTTCATGTCATGCCTTAGCTCCCTCCACGCATGATCCATGCCGAACTTATGCTCGTAGTCATTGGCGAAGATTTCATGGGCACGGCTCATCAAATCATCTTCGCTCCGACCACTTCTGTTCTCCCTCGTAGCCGCTTCAAAACAACCAACGAACTTACAGACCTGTTCATTCATTCTTGCCCACCTCTGCTTGCAATGAACAAGCTCTCGAGGTTGTGCCCCAGCAAGGTTCGGGTTAGAGTTGAAGTAATCTGAAATCCTCTTCCAGAAGGCCCCTGCTTTCTGGTCGTTGCTGACCACAGCATCTTTACTGGTGTTAAGCCAGGCTCCAATAAGGATAACATCCTCTTTTGGAGACCATTTACGCCTCTCCTTTACAGCTGGCTCATCATAGTGCTGGTTATCCATGGTTTAGCTTTGTGTTACTCTTGAATTTATTTTTTAAATTTGAATGAGTTTGAATGAGCAGGACAGAGGGCTAAATAAACAATTTGTTATAGATGACACAAATTTAAGACCAATCAACTCAGAGTAGTTGATTAGATAAAAAGTTAAACCCTTTTATTTAACACCTATAGAGTACCATTTAACCTCCCATCTAATCTCACAACCTTTACAGTTGAGGAGGTAAAAAGAAAAACCTAACGAGGTAGCATTTAACCCCCCATCTAATCTCACAACCTTTACAGTTGAGGAGGTGAAAAGAAAAACCTATAGACTAGCATTTAAACCCCCCATCTAATCTCACAACCTTTACAGTTGAGGAGGTGAAAAGAAATACCTAAAACGTTTTCAGTTTTAGTTTGAATTTATTTTTTAATTTTGAATGAGTTTGAATGTTTTCTGTTTTCTGTTTTCAGTTTTAGTTTGAAGTTATTTTTTATTTTGAATACATTTGAATGTTGTCTGTTTTTAATTAATTTATAGAATGACTTAAGTATAATATGTTTTAATAGTTCAAAGTATACATAGTACCAGGGTGTTTGTTAATTACCTTCTAACGGTCATAAACGTGCATCTTCAGCCTCTGAAGCTCATCCTGAACACAAACGACATAAAAGAGTCAAAAGTATTTAAAAACTTGTAGAAAAACATTCGAAGTTAACACGATGAAGATAACTAACCAGGAAGCTTGTTAACACTTTCTCCTTCTCTTCAAGCCTCTTGAACATCACCAACAGAGCTATAAAAGCCATTGCAGCGACAACCAGTGAAATGCTATTTGTAATAAACCATGATCTCTTCTTAGGTAACTCCTCCACTGTCGTCTCCACTTTAGCCAGCATCTTTTCACTCTCATTGGCTTGATCCTTCAGTTGCCTTAGTTGTCTCTGGAAGTCACTCAACTCCTCCATAACGGCTACGTCCCACCACTTCCAAATATGGCACTCACCATCGTCGACATTCTCGCAGCTAAAGTACCTTCTACCTGGGTCTTTCTTGGTGTGAGTTGTGTGAACAACAGGGTCAGCACCACAATAACACGTCTTGGGGATTCCATCATCTGCCTCAGGATTAGGACTATACTCAAAGGCCCCTGGAATATTGACACTACTCTCAGCTTCATGTGCGTACATGTCGGCTTCTGCTTGTAGGAAACAAGCTAGATCTACATCACACTCCTCTGAAGAAGAAGAAGGTTGGCTATAGCTATATTGTCCCATTGTACCTGAAATAAGTTCAAAACAGATGTCAACACAGACACAAATTCGATCACATAGATAAGTCCAGACAACAACACTCTAAACCCTATTCTCAACAACAACCATAAAAATAAGAAAGAAACTAAACTGTCACTAAACTCAACAGTTTACAAACCATAACCACAATCTCAATAATCCACCTAACTTCATATGTAATACTACTGAAAACGATTCAAAAAGAGCACCGTTTACAAACCATAACCACAATCTCGATAATCCAGAAATCGATTGAAATCCCTTTCCTTGACAAACCCTAACTTCAACGAAAGTCTACCCTAACCGATTCAATCCCAAAACCGTTTTGAAACACAAACCACAGACTAAAAACCCCAAATCGAGTAAAACCCCTTTCGTTTCAAAACCCTAACTTTCTCAAATCGATTCTAAACAAGAATCAAAACCGTCAAAGGCGACGAAAACAACATGCACACGATTTGGAATCCATAAATAATCGAAACAAACAATCGATTTACCTTGTTGATCCTAGGTTAGACTTATCGCACTTATCGCCTTTCGCCCAGAGCTTCTTTCTTTTTTTTTATTTTGGTTCGCAAATGAAAAAGGCTTCAACAACGCATCAACACACACCTCTCCAGAGGGCGAATGAGAGTGTGACACGTCAAGAAGGACCGAGTCCGTAAACCCCTTACGGACGGACCGATCCGGGAAAAACCACTTCGGTTTAATGTTATTTTATTCCCCTAAACCTATGGTTTCGCGCTAAGGTTTCGTTAAAAGCCTCCGATGTGGATGGTCTAATATCTTATTATTTGCACCAAGACTATGTATCATCAGGTTAAATTAAAGAAAGAAGCTGTTGTAAAAAAATTGAATTATTCATATGTGGTGATCATGAGCTCGTTTGCTACCTGTCGTAATAAAATTTACTTGAGTTTCACTGATTTTGTTGATTTAGAGGTACTAAATTGTCACCTTAACAAACTAAAACGTGTTCTTCCTTCCCACCGAGTCCTTTCTTTTCCTAAGATTACAAACCGAAACAAAATATCCAAACTGAAACACGCAAGTTTTAGATCAGTTTCCAAAACCACAAAAACTGAAGCCCACTGCAAAACAAAGCGTCACGAGAACAATCTACGTTTAACCTTCCACGAAGCAAAAGACAATCACCTCCTACGATTCACATTCGTGTCACGGATTATGTTGCGCTCAGTCCAGATCGGGCACGCACAAGTCGCTTTCTTTTTCTTCCATTCCGCTCCACACGTGTAACAAAACTCATATCCGCACCTGCAAGCCACACAAGAAAATACCAATCAACAATAATAACAAATGACCAAACACGGTCTCTCCTTTCTATATCCATGGATTTATGCTGTAGTAACCGTCATAAGTAAAGTACCTGCAGGTTATATGGTAGCATCCAAAAGCAAGCTCAACCATATTGTTGCATCTTATGCATTGCCTCCACCGCTTGCTCTGCGCCAGAGACTTGAGCATTCCATCTCCAGCGTTCTGATACCCCTTTGATTTACTGAAGTCCTCGCAGGTGTCTTTATAGTGCCACGGCACCTGGCACTGCATGCAGAAAAACTGCCCACACTTCATGCATTTCCTCGCTGCAGATTGCTCAGTGCCAACGAAGTACTGTTTGGTATACTCCAAAACTTCAGCTTTGGCCATCAGTGCCGAGCACTTTGGATACGGACAGTAAACTTTATCAGTAACATCAATCGAGCCTTCTTTCTTGCGTTGAATCATAACCTCAACCAGTTTGGGATCCAGAAACTTGGCGCAGGAATCCATCTTTACTTCTGAATTGCACCCCGCGCTCGGACAACTAGCTGTTTTCCCTCCGAGTAGCTTCACTTCAACGTGCTGCTTCATGCAGGAAAAGCAGAAACGGTGGAAACAAGCGTCCACGGAGAACATTTTGTCAACGGTGATGCCTTCGTAGCAGATCACACAAGTCTCCTTGAAAGTCTTGCCTTTACTGGTCTCCTCAGGCCATTTGATTTGGGACACGATCGCATCTCTTGCGAGCTTGAACACAAACTTGACATCATTTCTTGTCAAAAGAGATGGTTGGCAGTATGGGAACTTTTTCTGGAGAAGAGCCACTTTGTTTACAAGTGTTGCAACAACGCTCTGCCTAGGTTCCACCCTGCCTGTCACCTAGATTACAGAGCAAAATATCAACAAAAAGGGAAAAGCACCAGAACTAAACTACAACGGTGAGATAATCCAGATTCAGATTAGCTGATTCTCAAATGGTTATGTATGCCAAATAGTTATTAAGATTGTAGCAACGAAAATAGTCATAGTAACAAACAAAACAAAAAAAAAGGAACTAATTTAGCAACTAATTTAAGACTCAAAGGTCACATTTATTCAGAAATTTACAATCTTAGTCAAGGAAATCTATTTTCTGAGTAAAAATTCGAAGATTGAGGTTATATGATATGCAAATGATTGTGTGAGATACAAGATGTTTAGGTAACAAGAATGCAGAGCCATCACAAACAAAAACGAGTCCTAAGTATTGCAAACAAACAAAGAAAACAGAAAAGAACAACACTAGTGTAAAAGGTAAAGTTAGCAACTCTATAGAGACAGCCTAATATGGTCACAAGTCACAATCATTCAAAAAGTCAAGATGAGTTGAAATATAAGAGGTTTCGAGGAACTAACGTAATTGAAGAGCTTGAAATCATCAATGAAGAAGGTGACCCTTCCCAAATCGAAGGTGAAAGCTTCATCCAAGCCGTGAACAATGGCCTCCAACTCAGCAATTTCAGAGCTTTTAGACTCCTCAGCTCCCAAAACCTTGGACACCTCCCAAATAAGATTATCAGCTGAGTCACAAATGGCCACACCAACACCACCAACCGTAACCCTCGTCTCACCAATCATCTCCTCACTCACCAAACCTTTGCAATAGACCCGGAAACCCTCGCCTTCAATCGCTGAGAAAGGAGAGACCTTGGCGACAGAGGAGGAAGAGGAGGGAGCCGAAGAGCCGAGGGAGTAAGGTTTCTGGAAAAAGTCGCCGTCTTTGCTCCAATCAGCGTCAGGGATGTTCATAATCTCTTTGGCGAACTTCTGATCGTGGATCCGACGGTCGTGATCGACCTTGAGTCTCTTCATCTCCTGCTCGCCAAACTCTCGGTCTCGCCTCTCCTGGTCGACTCGCGCAATGTCCTCTAGAATCAGCCAAGTGTAGTCAAATCCTTCATCTTCTCCGGCGAAATCAAGTGTCGGAGATTCGGGGGAGGAGGAGGAGGTGTGGGCTGCTCGAGAAACGGCTAGGGCTTCCTGCATTTGGAGGTTGAAAGCCAGATCGTGGTCCTGGGCTAGGGTTTTAGCGGCCTTTATCTCTTCACGCTGTTCTTCGAGGATCACTGAGACTTCGTCGTCTTCAATCGCCGCCATTGGGGTTTACTGGGGGAGAGTGGAGAGCAAGTGTTGTTAGCGTGGTTAAGAAGGAAGTTGAAGCGTTCCCAGAAAGACTTGCCCTTGACCTTTGTCGTCTTTTTATTATTTACTTTCCTTTTAAAGATAATTACAAATATTATCGGATTTCGTGGAATGTACTTTTACTTTTTTCGCTTACGGATAAAATCATGGGATTTAAGTGTGGGCAAAAAAATCAAATAGAACCAAACCGAATCTATCCAGTCGAACCCAAATTCACCCAAACCAAATCAAGTATATATCCCCCAACTGTTTGGTTAAGGGTTTTAATCAACTCAAATGGTTATGTTTCGCTCAATTTTAAACGCTAATCAAAAAATTGAAATGTAATTTTAATTAGATTAACTAAAGAGAATATAGCCTCAAATGACATTAAAATAAGTTTTTCTTTTTAATCTAGTACACAAGGCATCATAATCATATATTTAGGTTTCATTAATTAGAAATAATTACCATTGTATCCCTTCTTTCAGTCCTTAATTTTTCTACATTTAAGTTAGAAAACTAACAAATTGAATCGGTGAAAGGAAAGAAATTCTGAACATTTCACCATCATTGTATTTCCAACTTCGTCATCATCTCTTGCTTCCCTCATCATCGGTGTCGTTATCTTCTCTGGATTTTCCTTCAACTTCGTTGTTTTGCCGCTGTCAAAAGTATCTATTTTCTCTCATGTGTGGTTAGTATCTATGTGAAAAGGTGGTTTGAATTTCAATGTTTTCTGGTAGTTGATAAGATCATTTTTGCGTGATTCATATTTATGTATGATGGATCCGTAAGATCTTGCTTTGCTCTTAAAATGAATCTATAAGATAATGCCTTTGTTCTTAAAATAGATATATGTGTTTTTGTAAACAAATGATTGTACACTTTCAACTATTTTGTGTAGATTATTTGAATTTCTCTCATCCAGCGATGTATACTTTTGATTTATGAGATAGTGTGTGGTTCGTATCTATGTTAAAGGTTATTCTTGATGGATTATACTAGAATCTACACAATGAAATGGATTTTAAACTATTTTGTTTCTTTGATGTTCTGTGATTACTTAATTTCTTATAGATGTGATGTAAAGCTTCATCGATCAGGTAGATGTGCTTTACAAAGGACGAACGAAGATCATGCGCCTACTCTTCATCGTACGCCATTGTAGAGGAGACTAGAGGCTACAACTTGAAGCATTGATGATGGTCACTATGAGAGTAAAAAGGGAAGAACAAAGAGTTGTTCAGATCTAGTTAATAGGATCAACGAGAGACTTGAGGATAAGTATAAGATGGATTCTGCTTGGTGTGAAAGTGTCAATCATCGTGCTGAACAGAACAAAGAAAGGCTGGAGAGCAAGATCAGTCGCATCGGTTAAATCGCTTATTGATGATGATTCTCTACTGCTTATTTTGTTGATTTTGTTCCACTGGATTCTTTGAAAATGAAGTATATAGGTTGTTTATGTGTAGTTTAGTGTATGCATAATGTGTTTGCTTGCAGAATTATAGATTCATCATCTTTTTGAGTATACAAACGTTAAGAGGAATATATCATAATGGATTCATCTGATATTATTTCTCGATTTGTTACTTAGAAAATGAAGTGTGTGGTGTTGTTTTTGTGCTGCTTAGTGTGTGTGTTGTATTGCTCTTTTCTGGAGATTCTTTTATTTACATAACTATATATTGAATCTGATTAAGTTTAGAGAAACAAACACCAGTTGATTGGATTTGAATTCAATTCACACTCAATAATTGAAGTAGTAGTGAATTAACTTTGGTTGAATATATGAGTAGTTGATAGAGATAAGAAAACAAAGAAAAAGATACAAAAATAGTAGTTCACGTGTATGGAAATTCAACATTTTTAATGATAATTTGTTTTTTAAACATCTTATATCTTAAGTGGCAAAAATATTCTTTGTAGAGTTTATAGTTGTAGTTATATTTCAAGATACTTCACTACTGGTTTTGCTCTCATTTACTTTACAGTTCCAAACATTTTTAATTTTTAATCAAATGTTAAATTTTTCATGAACCATTTCCAAATATGTGACAATCCTTCCAAATCAATATGAAATTAGTTAAGCACATAATGAGAGATGAAAAGCTAAATATTAAATTAAAAAAAAAACATTACTAAATAATGTACTTGCTATCCTAACAATTTTTAACTAAATATTAAATTTTCAGGAATTCCTTCCTAAATTATTAATTGATACCCTAAATATAATATATGTAAGTTTGTTAATATATACCTTTTTACTTGATATACAAACATTTATAATTTTTAATTTACGTTAAATCTTCAAGAAGCTCTTTCTAAATATGTGAGAGTCCTTCTAAATCAATTTGGATTAGTAAAGCAGACAATAAGAGATGAAAACCACAATGTTTTTTTTTTTTGGCAACCTTTTTTTTAACACGAGGACTTCCCGGGAGGTCACCAATCCTAGTACTACTCTCGCACAAACACGCTTAACTGAGGAGTTCTGATGGGATCCGGTGCATTAGTGCTGGTATGACCGCACCCAAACCACAATGTTTTTAATCCCCTATATATTAATCTTGGATCATTATAACATATTTTTGTAGCCACGTGTCATCACCAGAATAATTCTCAGAATCCTTAGAAAAATAAGTTGATCCATATAATTATATACTATACTTTTTATTAAACTAACTATAAAATTAATTATTAGTGTACAAAATAATATTCTTTTTTTCCTTAAATAAAAGCTACATAACTATTTAATAAGATTAACAAATATATGACAATTAATGATTATGAATAATACATATTTAATAAGAATTTTTGTATCTTTTCCCTTTTTGTATAATTTTATTTTATTAAAATAATTAAACAATCACATTAAGCATATAACAAAAAATAGATTTTTTCTTATACGTTATATGTTGAATTTTTTGAAACGACTATAAATTACTAAAAATGGTAAAAGTCCCACGTCAAAATTTTTTGATCAATGGTTTAAGTTTTTTGTTTGTGCAAGCAAGATATATATATATTTCAATATCATTGAAATTAACATGTTTATGTATTATATATATATTTCATATTTATATGATTTTACGATCCCCATTGTATTTTGTTATAATTAAAAGTTAAATCATGGATCACAAAAATTTTAATGTTGACTTTCATCAATTTTAATAATCTATAATCGTTTAAAATAAATCAAAATATAGCATATTATAAAAAATCTAAAAATTTTATTATATTATTAATATGAGGTTTCATTTATTTTAAGAATATAAAATTAAAAAATGATGGAAGATATAAAATTGTTATCAAATATTTATTTTTCAAAATCATTAATTGTCATATATTTGTTAATCATATAAGGCAATTACGTAGCTTTTATTTAAGGAAATAATGGAGAATATTCTTTTATACACTACCAATTAATTGCATAGTTAGTTTAATAAAAAGTATACTATATATTGAGATGGACCGGCTTATTTCTCTAAGGATTCTAAAAATCAACGTAGTGATGACACGTGACTACCAAAGTATGTTTTAATGCTCCAGAATTAATATATAAACGATATATATATATGTATTATATATATGTCAATATCAATAACATTTAATTATATACCATATAAGTAAATAAAATGGTTGTTTTGATTTATTTACCAAAAACATGATTATAAATTAACAAAAAAATATTAGTTTTGATTTATGTGTTTACTCTAATGTATATACTTTTATGTATAAAAATTAATTTTTAAATAGGTAATTTCTAATATGTTATTTGATTCCAAAAATCCGAGAATTACACTTCTTCAAATTGGATTAATTTTTGATATTGGAAGCACTTTATATATATATATATATATATATATATATATATATATATATATATATTTATACATATCTATATATATTATTTAATTCAAATTAAATAAATTAATTTTGATATTTATTCCTAAAAAGCTTTTAATGAAATATCATGACAAGATTCCAATCTTCTCCTTTTGATTTTTTTTTTCAAAGAATGAGAGATTTGATCATTCGTCTAATATTTTTTTCTCCATAATACCCAATATAACTATTATAACTTATCCGAATAAGAATTATGATCTTAGTACTTTGAGATTTAGTTATAATCCGAACCGAACCAAATCCGAACTAGATCCGAAGATATCTGAAATTAATATAATATGTTAATATTTTTAATATGTCAAGATAATTTATATATTTTATTGTATTGGAAATATATTTGTAGTTTGTTTATTTTTTATTTTGAACATCCTTTAGTTATTTTGGATAGTTTAACTAATTTTAAATTGGATTTACGAATAATTTAAAATTTTGACATTTTTTTTATCAATTTTGAGGTTTTAAAAATATTTCTTAGGACGATTTCAGATTTTGGTTTTATTCTGATCTAAAACGAATTTGGAAGGAACCGAACCGAATCTGATCCAATAATTAATAAAATCCGAATGGGACTGAAGAGCATAATACTAAAAATTGGAAAATTTGAATCAATCGAACCGAAACCGACGGACCTCCGAACGTCCAAGCATGTGATATATTTACGAGACCAACATTTGTATTCGTCATTTTACAATTGATACATATTATTGTGTTTCAAAATATTAAAATTGAACAAACATTAATATAAAAAACTCATCCGCGCATGCGCGCGAGTATCATCTTGTTAAATATTAAAATTTTACGAAACTCTTCCTAAATATTTTACTTGCTATCCTAATATTTTCTCTTTTAATTAAATATTATTATTTTTAGAAAATCCTTCCTAAATATTTTAATTGCTATCTTAAATATGATATATATGTAAGCTTGTTAATATATACATTTTTACTTGATATTCCAACATCTTTAATTTTTAATTTTTAATCAATATTGAAGTCTCAACATCAGAAATTCCCAGAAGAAAATATATTCACTATTATTCCTAGAGAACGAGCCTGAGCAACACA